ATTATTTTCTTATCTACATCATTTCTTTTTTCTGAGTTGCCAGAATCAAAAGTAAACTTAGTATCTACCTTGTTCTTTTCATGTTTTATTCTAAGACCTTTTAAGATTATATTTAATAAATCCTAAATGATGAGATTAAACAGATGCTTGAATTCTTTAAAAATGTCCACTAATACTTAACCACTTCAATATGTGAGTGAGATACCAGAGTTTCAGTTCCTTCCTGATTTGGAAGCATTCTCCATTTTTGTTCTGGATGAGAGTTTGTGTCTGATGAGCCTGGGCATACCTTCAGTGAACCTTAGAAATGCTTGTCACAAGTAAAGTAGTGCAAATAGTTCCCTCCTACCTGAAAGGTGCAGCCCGGGTGGCGCAGTGGTTAAGATATTGGCTGCTAACGAAAAGGTCGGTGGTTCAAATCCACCAGCTGCTCCTTGGAAACCCTATGGGGCAGTTCTTCTCTGTCCTGTAGGTTTGCTATGAGTTGGAATTGACTCAATGGCAACGGGTTTGGAGCTGAAAGATTTGCTGAGGCGGGGTGGGGGGTGTCTGTTAATTTGGCAGCTCAGTTTTTCTTGAATGACGTGAATTTAACTCAGTTTTCCGAGTTTGCTAATGATTCACCCTTACTCAAAGATAATCCAAGAGTTTTCATCCCAGGAGCCATGAAAATTCAACTGCTGTTAGACAGTTTTTCCAGGAAAGTGTAAGTTTGAAATTAGATCACTTTAATTTAGCAAGTGGCAAAACTGGACCACCTACCTAGTTTGCCGTAGATATGCAGAGAGACCATATTCACCTCTGAGTATTAGTCACTCTCCTATTGCCAGTACAGACATAGTAAATATAGCAGTCAAGATTACCTTTAGGTGTCTTTCAGTATTTGAGTATCAGGTATTTTGCATCAACTGTCTTATGCTAGTAATAGCTAAATGAGAGATTTGTGAACGCATTTTTATAAACTGAAAAATATTTAGGTGATATTATTATCCTCATCATTTATTAAAGCTAATTTAGTATTCTGGTTAAATTTTATGTGATACATACTAAAAATCATGAGTTTTCTCTTTTCAGAATTTGCTTATGGTGGCCATCCTTACCCTTTTTCTGGAATATTTGAAATTTCCCCAGGAAATGCTTCTGAACTAGGAGAAACATTTAAATTTAAGTAAGTAGGGAGGATAATTTCTATTACACTGTCTTAGATGCCAGAGCTTATTTTCAGGCATACAGAATTCATTCTGTAGTTTAAAATCTGGCAAGTTGAAATGCTTCTTTAACATTGGCTTAGTTGCTGACACTGTATTTTAAAATAAAGTCTATCTAAGTTGTTGTGTAAAGATGCAAATCAGCCAGATAAAGTGATTGAAATAACCTAGTCGGTTGCTTTTATTCAAGACCAATGTAGGTTATTCTGTCTACTTTTAAAATGTTTTACCATTGTACAACTCAAGCTCTTCTTTGGAAGACTCGTATCAAATGACTTTCCTCCTCTCCCATATCTTCTGTTTGGGAGGAGAAAGGAGGAAAGTTTTATTATAGCCTGCCGTTGTTAAAAATCTCTTTATTTTCCCAGTGAAAGGGACACTCTTAATAAATTTGAAATAAATTGTTTATGAGCCTAGAGACTATTGTGTAGGTGCAACTATGGAAAAACATAAAATGTGTGGATATGAGTATACTCTGGAGCCCTCTCAGTAGAAAATAGCAGTCAAAATCTTGAATGCTGAAAATCAAATTTCCTTAATAAAAGTTTGAATTTAAGTTGATATTTAGAATCTTAGATTCAACAAACTTTAAAGAAACTTCTGGGCCTATAATAGTTAAAAACTTGCCATGTGAAAAATTATTGAGTTCAATAGAGGGCTATGCACTTTTAGCATTTTAGTTCATGGTTCTCTTAACCTACCACTGATTTGAAAGATTTATATACTAGAGCGCTGTAATTCCATACTGAGTCCCCTCCTTAGGTCTCCCCTCTGGCAAGACTACTAGAGAAGGATTTTCTAAGTATTTTTAGCATCGTTGAATACCTAACAGTATCTAGGTAAATTGCACTTTCTATTAAATAATGTCTATTGCATTTCCAAGGTAGTTGTCTTTTTGATAATGCTTTTAAAAAAAAAAAAAAAAATTAGTCAAGTCTGACAGTTCCATCTTCCTGTAGCACAGAGGCAGGTAACTTGTATTACTTCTAAGTGAGAATATGGTCAGCCCTTTGATGGTGAGTGTGATTAAGCAGGAATATTTGCAGCATAGATCAGGTTATCTAATAATATAACTACGAGTGCAATAGTTGTGAAAGTAACTGTGATATTAGCAGAAATAGTGCACTTAATAGCTTTCTTTTTCTTTCAGAAAAGTAGAAACTAAAATAATTGAAATGAAAAAAGCATCTCATTTACTTTTAGTCTTGTTACATTAACC